CATCTACTACCTTTTTAATAAGGTTACTCTCATTCCAATCTGTTCTGAGTGAAATGTGAATGTCATTATATTTCTGGAGGCGGACTTTTTTAAAATTTTTGAGTAAAGAGAAATAGGTGGTTAGCGGGTACTCCAGTGTGGTTTGCTCCTTTCCTATCAAACATCTGTCGTCTTTATCTCTCCTCATTTTATTTGTTACTTTCTTGTAGCACCTCTAAACTTCAGCGCTTATGTGACCTAATCCTTATTGTGTCACAAGTACAATAAAATGCTTACTAAAACAACAGTAAGGAAAAAGAAGCACATCACTGTGACAACGGCCATTTAGAAAAGGGAAAAAGCAAGACCGACAGACGGAAGCTACAGAGGGAAAGAAAAGAAGTGGCTACAAAAAGATTTCACAAAAGTAAGTTAGTATTATTAGCATCAACTACTTTATTTCAAGCAAATCTCCAGAATTGACGATATCGCAGGTCATATTCGCTATTCATCACCTAAAAATGAATGAGTTCACAGTTGTATATGATAAAAAATATCCAGTTGGTCAAAAGTATCTTCCTCAAGTTGATCTTTGGAATAACAATTAATCAATCAAAGAAGTCTGCAACCTCACAGCAATGGACTAAACTCAAACTTATATCATCGGTGACTGACTCAAACCATGTATCGCCAAATTAGGTCAAACATTAGGGTAAGGGATAAAGAAATTTCTCTCTTATTGTCGTTCCAGAATTGTTGAATAAAACTAGTGTAGGATGTTCCTTTTACTGATTACAGTGTCACTGATTGTGAGCCGATCTGAGTCTGAGGAAATCAGGAACTTGACACCGCTGGGCCACTTTGACTTTTTGTGCTAGTCTGAAAGCTAGGATTTTACTGATTATTATGTACTTAAAATTTTTCAGTTATTTCTTTTTGAAGCGGAGATATTTTATTTTAAAGTAACAAAATGCAAAAAGGTATGATTAAGAACTAAGTGACACCACTTGTTTCTTTTTAATATCTAAATGGAAAATAAATGAGAAAAATATTTCAAAGTGGTTTGTACAAGAAACAGCTCTTGAATTATTATATTCTGAAATGGTGAGGAAATACGTAACTCAAAATTGATTAGAGATCTTGCCTCACAGACTATTTTTGCCCACATCGCGGTTCGAGGTTTAGTGACATGTTCCTGATTTCCTCAGACCAGCTCACAGTTGTTATAACATTAACAGTTGTGAATAACTTAATCTCAGACAATAATTGAAAAGACATGCCTGATCTAATTTGGTGGATATATACACGGTACGAGTCAGACACATAAAATATTTGATTATGAATAATAAAGATTTTACTAGGACTAAGAAGGAGGTTTCAGATATGGGACAAAAATAAGATAAGATTGCTTAATTACGGAGGAGAGATGTTCATTAGATGGAAAAGAGAAGATCTGCAGATGTGTTCACATTCTAAGACCTCTATGACACTGGAGACCTGCATGACTCTGGGACTATATCTCTACACATAATGGTACACGCTACTTCTTTGTTTCTGTTTGGAACCAGTGTCTTCAACAAAAGCAAAGAGTCTGATTTTTCCATATTGGATACTTTGAAAATTAAGTAACTTACACTTTGACAATATACAGTGCTGCATTTATGGATTCATAATGAAATCATCAAACTTACCCTATGCATTGACCATCCGCCTTTTTATTCATCCTTTCATTCATCTCTTCACTCACCAAGCCACTGATTTCATTATACATTACAGTTAAACTGATCAGTTCCTTTGTCTCCCACACTTCAATCCACTCAACTATTAACTCAATCATTCTTTGATCAAATATTCATCCATCACTTGATGTGCCATCCATCATAGTTCATTATTTCAATGATAATCAACAAAATATTAACAAATCCTCTAAAAATATTTTTAAAATATTTGGGCAGAGTAGCGGCAGTCAAGCTCCAGTTTCATTACTACTTGAGCAAATGTCCATTTCTATTTCCAGTAATCAAAGCATAATGGAATCATCGAAATTGTAGATGGTTGATAAATCATCCTGAAGAATAAAAATGTGCTCTACATTTTTAAAAGGCTACAATTCAAAGGTATTCATGTAAAAAAAATTGTATGGTTTATCCTTCTCTGGTCAAGTTGCTCCTGATTATTTCGAACCCCTTCACTATTAAACCTGCTTCATAATCCTCCCACAGAGCATGCATACTGTTGTGGACACACTACTGAAGCAGTTACTTGAAAACCAACTGAAGAAACTGATGAATTTCAAGTTTCAAATGTTGACAGTTATATTCATCTCAAGTTCTTACTCAAATTCCTAGGCTCTTCAGTATTCATAGAATCAGTTTCGTAATATAGACCAAGATCTTAGATAGCTTCAGCTTAAACATTGATGCTACTACCAGGAAAGAAAGTCAGACCAAAGCACAAAAAAACAAACATGTAGACAATATTAAATACAAGTAAATTAAACAACATAGCTAGTTTCTCCGAACGTCCTTAATTGAAAAGTAAAGAACTTCCATGGTGTATTTCACTCAGGAAAACAAAGCAGTGATGAGAATACAAGTGTACTTAGTCAAGAGATAATTACTAATAATTTTTAAACTACTAAATGTATGAAACGATACAAAATTGAAAGAAAATGGCGGATATTTTGAATGGAGAAAGGCAGGTTTTCATGGTGTAAACAATTTTTCAGTGAGACGAAATCACAGGGGAAAGGCAAAACATCACAAGTACAAAATAAAAATGTCTGTAAACATTGGAAAAATACACATATTATAAATATCATTATATATCTTTACAATATAACATGTGTGTATATGTACGTACAGATTTCTCGGGTTTGTGAGACTTCACTGAGACCATGGGTGGCGGCAACATGATAACATTAATATCTAGCTGGACAAATTTTAACTGCTGGTCTCCACAGCCGAAAGGTTTCAGCTGTAAGCACAACAAGCCCAAAAATATTACTTTCCAATGCACCGACACTGTGCCAGTCATCAAATGGAGCTCCCAGTTCAGATCTGAAAAGTTCAGCTGTAGGAAATATTATATTGAGCAAAAGTCCTTCACAACACATCAGGCATGTGAAACACACAAAAACAAGAAAATCAAATTAGAAAAAACAAAATGAAGTAGAGGGTGAATAGTGAGATCATCTCTCAGTACTCTTAGAAATTCATCCAAATTGTTCAGAGTAATTTAAACGAAAAAAAAATCATATCAAATAAATGCTGCAGTACTTTGAATGTCTCGATCCAACTCAACAGTTTTCACAACTCCCATTCTGGCACAGTAGGTAGAAGAATGTTGTCTACATACTGAAGTTTGATATCTGAAATTAATTAAGGTGGAAATTTTCCTTATCCTTCCAGAACTACGGTAACTCTCAATTCAGCGTTAGGCATGTGCCCCGTCATAGGTACGACCATAATTGTTGCTTAAAGGGTTATAAGCTTCTCTTCTATAGAAAAGTGATCATGCAAGAACAGAATACTTGATGGATACCCATGACAGTTCAACTAAAAACGAAAACAGTAAAAAAAACAATTATCCAGAGAAACACTTAAATTTTACCACAATGAAAAATTAGATAATATTGTAAAAGAGAGAAAAACAATTAAAACATAACAACAAAAGAACAAGCATTACAGGAGCAAAAATCCAAGAAAACAAAACAATTAATTCTTTTTCACATTATGCTGGGGAGCATAGCCAAACTTTCACAAAAAATAGTTCTAATCAAACAACAATTTTGCAAATAAAATGCAACAGAGCAATAATAATATGATGGATGGTGGGACTTTCATGGAGTAAACTCCGTCATAACAGGAGCAGAGAGACAGAAAGTGTCGATCAAGTGACAGTGTAATGATCTGCGAGCACAACACAGAGCTCGTCATAGCTGAACACAAAACAAGGAATTCCAAAACAAACAGTCATATTTAACACCCTTTAAAACTTATTCTTTATAAAATGCACAAACTCAGCAAAGAAAAAAAAACCACTAAAGAAAATCATACACATGTGTCTGCATGGCACAGACTTGCATATATATAAATATTTGTGTGCACAGAAACATGAAATATAAACACAAATCTGGGACAAAAATTTGCCAACATATCAACTGGCAGACAGACATATTTTTCTGTCCAAGCATAAACCAGTATAACAACAATTTTCTTCAAATTATATACCTTTCAGTGTTCATTTCACCACATGTGACCTTCCCCATCTAACATCTCACTTCTTTCTCTTCACTTAATTGTTCTAGTGAAAAGAAAAAAGGAGGACAAAATGTCAGAAAAAAAATCACATCAAGAAAAAAAAGAATGATTCTAAATGTGTTCTGATTCAACTCATTCGTTCCTGGAAAAAAACTGCATTGATTTTTCTATCTTTCTTAATCATCAACACCACTGACTAAAAATGTCCACAAAATTGATAGTGACATAAATTTTCAACACAAAGGAACATCAGCAAGGAGAAACTAACAAAAAGGAGAGCATTCCTTCACCAAATTGCCATTTTTAAACTTTAAATTTCACAGAACTGGTACCTCGCAGTTTTTTCCAGAAAAAAATTACAAAAGCAGGAAAGCTCTATCGACACACTATAAAGCTGAGGCACAACTAATCAGACAGAGATTATCTAATTTTTTTCCACGGAATATTTCCTCTTTGCAAAGCAAAACTAATCAGGAGCAAAAGTTTTATTTATCTTAAGAACAATCAGAATTTCATGTAGTAGGACGTGTTGTGAACAAAGAGTCAACTTAGAAGCAATGTTTAAGGCACGTGGAAATCATTTTATATTTAAAATATCATCCCAACTTTTAAAAACTTTATTAAATGTTTTGGGGCTTATAGGGGCTTCATTCTAAACAACTAGAAAGTTGATCAGAAATGAAGGATTGGGTGCATAATAATAATAATAGACAGCATTTGTATAGCGTTAATTCCCGCTCAACAGCAAGCTCTATGCATTTTACAATCTACATTATTACCCAAGCAGACTTGATAGCATTCCGAAACAATCTCAACTTCCTGGGAAGTATACAGTGTATGATATATCTTGTTATTGAACCATTTGCTACTGGTCAAATTTTGTTCCTTCACTCACATGAGATGTTGAGATCTCACAATTTCCTTGTTAACCTGACCTTAAACACCTTTCCAGCATCTATCACATCTCTGTCGCTATCTGGCTTGACAAAGTCCTGCAACTGGACAATTCTTGTATAAAGACCAGAAGGGGGAAAAATGCCATCCTGACATTTTTTAAAGTGAATTTGAGCAATCTCAGTTTTTAAAGTTAAAAATCTTATGTCGTAAAAAAACGCCAAACAATTTTCGGCCTTACCATTTCAGTCTTCTTACCCCTAGCTAAAATTTACCCTTAAATGTCAGTGTTTAAGATTATTTAGGAGCCAGGCACACTCAGCTGAAAACTGAAAAGAAACAAAAATTTAGTCACATAATGGCATTCTTTACCAGATGAAAAAGGGTACCGATACTATGCCCGGTAGAAAAGTAAATGTAAATGATTAAAAGCCCATCTGCATACATAGACATTTCTTTGGCCAATATTCGGGAGTTTTGCAACAAACAAACTGGGTAGATTTGAACAGTTGTAGCACAGTGAGGCTTACGTCGCACCCATAGCTTTCTTCAACCTCTTCAAATTGTCCAGAGTGACTTGGTCGTTGGGTTTCAGCTTCAGGGCGTTGTTGTAGGCTTGCTCCGCCTTGCTGTACTTGCTGTTGATGTGCAGCATCGCGCCCAGGTTCATCCACGCCGATGCTTCCTGTCATTGACATTGAAGAAGATACTTAACACTTGCGAATGATAATAAGAATAATAAATAGCATTTGTATAGCGCATGTCCCCACTAGAAAGCAAGCTCTATGAGCTTTACACTATATTATTACCCGAGCAGACCATAGAACACTCAGAAACATTCTCAGCTTCCCGGGAAGCATACAGTGCAAGCAGCTGGTTAAGCGCTCAAACACTAACAAACTGACAAGATCTTTCACTTTCACCTGGGTGAAGTGGGTAAAATTCGTGTAAAGTGCCTTTCCCAAGGACAGCAACGTCGGGCCCATGGCTCAAACCCCCGAACCCGCAACCTCACGATTATGAGTCCGGTAGCCTAACCAGTTACCAGATAGCACAGTTACCGGATTTGCACAAAATATAGATGCCAAAATAAAAAAGAAATGGGAGTAATTAAAAAACTGTGCTCTTATGTTTCCGATTCTAAAAAGAAGTAGGCTCTAAACCAAATTCTCTTTCGTCCTTGTGTTTACCTCATCTGAGCACTGGAATTTTGGCATGAAGTAGTCTTGCAGTAGGAAAGTATAGATCTATTATCAGAATCTGCTTAGGATTATAGTCATTACTTTTTCTTCTTATTGTTGTGTTTACCAAGTCATCATCAAGATATAATCATTACTATCATTATTTTAAATCTCCTCTATTAACATTCACTCAAAAATGAAAGTTGTTGAAAGTATGGTAAAGATTTTCTCCCAAATAGTTCTCATAATCAAAATCAAGAATTTCAGTTACGCTTAAAATAGTTTTGTACTGACCTTGGAATTCAGTTTTACAGCTTTGATGTACAGTTCCTCTGCCTTTTGCTTCTTGTCAAGTTGTCTGGAACCAGAAACAAAAAAAACCAATGAGACGTTGAAAAGAAAAACCAAAGGAATAAAAAAACAAAAGAACAAAAATAATTTGCTTGCAATAGCTCGCATTATGAAATTTACACTAGATGAATATTATCTATTACCTCTTATATAATACAATTCTTGGCGGTACTGGAATGGTAAAAAAAACATGTTGATATAGCCTACATAGAATTTAAATTACATATTACTTTCTTCATAAGAATTCAATATGAAGATAAAAATAAAGCTGACAATAACACACCTATCACATCAGATGCATCTTTTAACCTCATACAACAAACTAAGTAAAGTGAAAGAATACAAGCAAAGAAAAAAACAGCAACATTTTTCTAATGATAATAAAAAGATAAACCCATCTCAGCCCCCTCTCCCCCAACCCAAAACCATTAAATTACATAAAACTTCATAAAAAGAAAGATTGAGGGATCATGCATAATATGCACATACACACAATAACATGAACACGGCACACAAAAACACAAGAACACAAGACACCACACACACAAACACACAAAAAGACACACAATCACACAAACCCATAACCGCCCATACCAACACACACACATACACAAACCCATATACACACACTCATACACACACACATACACACATACACATACACAAACATTTACTTAAAACATAGAAAAACTTAATGGATCATTAAGAGTCTACCTGAAAAGATTGGCAGCATTATAAACAATTTCAAAGTCATCAGCCTTCTCAACCAGCAGTCTGTCGTATATTTCCCCAGCATACTTGAGACGGTTCATCGCAGTATAAAGTTGGGCTGAAAGTTTGAAAATTAAGAGGTCAGAAGTCAACAGGGATTATGGGTAAGTCTGTACATGATGTATTTTGGAAGTGAACCAATACTGTTCATCTTCAAACGGGTTATCTTTTAGTTTACATCCGAGTCAGTACAAAACAGCCACATTTCAAGTTGAGCTGAAAGTTTGAAAGAAAGAGGCCAGACGGCAACTGGGATTATGGGTAACTCTGTATTCAGGAAGTGATAATAAGGTTCAGTTTCAAAAGTGGTTAACTTTTAGTAAACAGTGAATCAGTACATAGCAGCCACATTTTAAAAGGGGTTAACTTTACTTTAAGTAAAGAGAAGTACGTTGAAATAAAACTGACAGACAGACAGACTCAGACAGACAGACTCAGACAGACAGACAGGCAGACAGGCAGGCAGGCAGGCAGACAAGCAGAGAGGTAGGTAGGTAAGTAGGTAGGTGGGTGGGTAGGTGGGTACCTAGTAAGTAGGTAGGTAGATAGATAGGCAGGCAGGCAGGCAGGCTGTCAGGAAGGAAAACAGGCAGACAGAAAGAAAGACAGACAGATATACAAATAGACAGGCAGGCAGAGAGATAGGTAGATAGATAGATAGATTTATCTATCAGACAGACAGACAGGGGAGACCAACCTTGATGATGATCCACTGTCAGATCCGTTGGATTGACGGCCTTTGCTTTATCTAGCCAGGCTAAGGCTTCCTGGCCGTCATTCTGTGGACAGTTAGGAAAGAGGGCAGCTGATGAGACATGGTTGGGTGCAGACGATCTTTGGGAGACAGTGGGGAAATACTGTTCCCTCTAGCATGAACTTGACAACCATTTATTAAAAAAGTATTGAGGTGATCAATTAAATATGTTGGGTGGGTGATTGACAGGAGCCGTGGTGCGGTTTGCTCCTTCTTTCCAGTCAAACATCTATCATCCAAAACTCTCCTCCTTCTATTTTGTTTGATACTCTCGTGTAACACCTCTAATCTTCGGCACTTATTTGACCTATTTATGCTGCAAGTGTCGTAAAACTCTTACTTGTACATAAATCTATTGACCTTTTCAGCAGGGCTTTAAGTTTTTTTTGCTCTACTCATTATTCAAAACAGGATATCATGTTCATACAAAAGGGCACAGAATTCATGTGATCTTGTGACAGGAGCAGTCAGACACAGATAAGTACATCATCGTTATGAGAATTATAGTTTACATAGAGCATGTGAATATTACATTTTATTACTTCCTTCAAAGTCAGATGTACTATACCAAAAGGAAGGAAAACTTGGAATGATTTTCTAGTTCTGTTTATAACTATGTAAAACAAAAACTTGAACTTATAGGAAATTAAAAACTGAAATGTTTAATTGTGGATATGTTTTACATCCCCATTAATATAGTCTTTAACATTTTTCTTCAGGTGAGAAGTCCTATCATGTTTAACTGGCACTTGATTTTTTTTTTAATGGAAATTTTGAGCTACCAGAATTTCATATAACTCAAAACTGAAGCCTTTTCTACATCAATATCAGTAATGATCAGCATAATGAAGTGCAGTAATGAACAGCAATAACAATTAGCATCATGCACATTATCACACCACTGACCTTTGCTTGCATGAGCTTCGACATGGTCAAGTGAGCTGGGATGTGGTCAGGCTTGGCTTTAAGGGCATCTCGGTACCACTTCTCCGCCTCCTCCATTTGGCCCATCTTGAAGTAGACTTCACCTGGAAGTAGTTGGGGTTTTTTTTTCTAATTTAGTCATGTATCACATGCATTGTAGGTGTTCATTAAGATGGACTGAAAACATGTAAACATTATTTCATTATACAAATTCTTTTTTTTACTGTAGCCAACATCATTATCAATTCAATAATTAGCCATCACTTCCTTGGAAGTGTGTGTCATTTATAATTTATGCAGTTTCACAGAAGTCTCTTCCATAAAATGTGTAGCATGCTTTATGTGAAGAGAGCCAATTGCCTTAAACACTGAATAAAATACCTATTTACATACATCACTTCCCTGAAGAAAGATCATACAAGTTGGAGATATGTAAAGACTAACAACCTGTTCCACTGCACATCCCTAGATGATATGAGAGGTATACTTTTCCCTCCGAGACCTAACAATGACAAGACACTCTATGGAGCAATACAGCAACTGCAGCAAACCTGCACTTATCACTATTGGGCACTGAACAGAAGGGCGAGGGCCCAGCTGCTGCTGGATCGATAACAACAATAACCACAACAACAACAACAACAACAACAACAACAACAACAACAAAAATTAAGACTAAAAATCACAAGATCAGAAAAAGAACAAAAGGAACAAAACCGTGCAGTTACTCAAGG